GCTGGGATTTTGCAATCTCTGATGATCCAAAGGGCCTGCAAAGCTGCTTCCTTTCCTTTGGCCTGTGCAAACAAACAAACAAACAAACAAACAAACAAACAAGATACTCTTAGAGAGAAAACATGATGAGCACACAGCCTGATACATTTGGCACCAAAAAAAAACTGGAACAATCTATGATGTTTTCTGCAGGATCAGGATGCTGATTCAGCCTCTTGTTCTTTATCTTCCAACTGCTTCTTGAGCTGCTCCTTCTCTGCCTGCAAGGAGGAGGCTGACTAACTGTGCCAAAATACTATTGCTGTACGAGAAGTTGGAATCGCACAGGAGAGAGTCAACTCCATGGCGACTACCAAAGCATTGGGGAATGTACCAAAAAATTAAAAACCAAAAACAAATCTTAACATGTGGCATGCTAAGATTGACACGGACATGAGTTTCTACACGCCCCGCAGCTTAAGGCTACTTGTAATACTTGTTAGCCCTACTCAGTTTTGTATGGATCTGGCACGTCCCCCGCACAACTCACGCTGCTAAACCATGTGTTTGGTCTGTGACAAAGGAAATCCAAGTGCTACATGAGCAAGCCACTTAACATCTTGCTTTGTGGGACCAACTCGACTAGCAACAACCAAACCAAACACGACCAACAGCTAGCCGCCTGCAGTGCTTGCTCGCTCTTTTCTGTTACTTGCTCCTTCTTTTCTGCCTTCACGCACAAACAAACACACAAGAATATACTTGCCCATTACCTTCACTCACTATCCCAGTGATCTGCAAGTGTGCGATGTGGACATGACACAGTGGTCATCATGTAAGCTACGCAGGCCTGACGGAGCTCTTGCTGCAGTTGCTCATTGTGCATGGTGAGAGCGTCAAACTTGTCCTTTCTCACACTCACAACAAGCATGCGGCAGCCACAACTGAGCTGAAGCTCAAACAGCTTCTTCTCTTTCTGAGTGTCATCCCTCAAAAAGGATCAGGTGCCTGCAACGTTGACGCCAACTTCGCCTTCTCCTCCGCCTTCACCAGTTTGGCTATGGGTGGTTCTTGTGTTTTGGAGACATGTTTGCTTCAATCTGATAGTTTGTGTGCGTATGCTCTTGTCTAATATATTTTCCTGATGAACTGGGTCTGGACTAAGATGCACCACAGGAACTACATTGAAAGTACTGAAACCTTCTGTCACCGGATTCTGATCTCGGATAGACTTGCGCTAGTGCAAAGCAAAGTTCTACTGAGACTGGCTACAAGGTGCCCCTTTCTGATAGTCTACCATCTTAATCACTAAGTGGACGGACAACAGCGTGGGCGCTTCATGCCAGCTGGCAAAAGTAATGGTGTAATTGCGGTATGGGGCACAGCCCTCTGCCCAAAGAGTGCGCGGGAGAACCTTCTGTTCCAACTCCATCAGCTTGTTCTCCCGCAGCTCATGGTTCGCCTTGCAGCCATCTTATGGAACTGTGTAGGAGGGATGCGCAAAGGTGCTGCTGTGATACAGGGAAGCTTTAGTGAGTTCAGGCTATTTTGGTTGGGAACTTAATCCAGTTGTGTAACCAAAGACTAAGTTTCCCTTTACACATGCCTCTTGTAAGGCACAAGATTCCATAGAATCTTTCAACACTCGCAGCACCCATGTTCAGTTCCATCTCTCTTGCCAACAACCGTGCACTACAGAACATATTCACTGTTGGATGCAGGCTCTTCGAAGCAAGTCAGCAAGTGCGCTCAAGATCTGCCAGGATGGTGAAATCACGAAGCCCTCATGGACTCTGGGAGAGGAAAACATGATGAGTATATGTACAGCTTTATACACACTTGGCATCTGAAACATCATGGAAGAATTTATGTTGTATTTCACTTTGTGCTTTGGATATCTTCGCGAATTGTTCTCCGTAAAGGGGAGCTGATTCAGCCTCTTGTTCTCTATCTTCCAACTGCTTCTTGAGCTGCTCCTTCTCTGCCTGCAAGGAGGAGGCTTACTAACTGTGCCAAAATACTGTTGCTGCACGAAAAGCTGGAATCGCATAGGAGAGGAGCAACAATCAAAATCATCAGGGAACGTGCCCAAAAAACGGACATTTGGCATGTTCATCTTGTCACAGGAGTGAGTTTATGCGGGCATCGTGAGTCATTGTTCAAGTAGCTACACAACACAATGCATGAGCACAAGAACAAGGTGCACTCAACAAGCTAGTAAAACAGGAGGAAAACCTTGCCCGTTGTCTTTCGCTCAACATTGATGGTGTCTAATGTCTTCAGTCCTAAAAATTATACTGTATCAAACCAAATCCAGCATGTCAGCCAACCCAAGTGTTCCATTGAAATGTCCCCCTGGAGTCCATTGTCACTTGAGTGGTAAAACTGAAGAATTCATCAGCAAAACCGCTTTACATCTTGCTTTGTGCGACCGATGCTATAACCAGCGCCAGCAACCAAACTAAAGTGAACCAACTGCTAGTGGCCTGCGGTGCTTGCTCGCTCTTTTCTGATGTTTGCGCTTGCTTTTCAGCCTCTGCACCGATGGACCAACTCTCTCAGTGTGGTTTGCAATGTAGCCCTTTGCTCAAAGAGTGAAGGAGAGCCTTCGGTGCCAAGTCCATCAGCTTGTTTTGTAGCTGATCATCCACCTTGCAGCCATCTTGCGGAGGGCTGTGCAGGAGGCATGTGCCAAAGGTAGCTGATGAATCTTTTGAGATAGCACAGGCACAGGGAAGCTTTAGCGAGTTCAGGCTATGCTGGCCGGGAAAATATTCTGACTGTGTGATCAAAGACTTAGCGTCATGCGTTACACATTCCTCATGTAAGGCACGCAAAACATACCCAAATAAAGCAAGTATAAGTATCACAACGTAAAACAAACAGTCGGAAGTTTTATGGTAATAGCCACTTTCAATACCACCTCTTGTCTTGTCAACATTGAACGAGCCACTGCTTATTCAATTGAATGCGTGCTCTTTAAAACACATGTGCTTAAGATCAGCTAGGATGGTGCACTGATGATCGAAGGGTGCCTGCGGAGCTGCTGTCTTTCTTCTGGCCTGCAAAAGGCATCGAAATCAAGGGGTGACAAATATGATGCACATGCAGCTTGGTACACTTGGCAGCTGAAACATCATCTGACAGCCTCAACGGCTGCTGCCTCCAACTCATTCTGCAACCTCTGCTTTTCTGCCTTTGCAGTTTTCAAGGAATGGATCAAAACAAGCGCATTCTCTATGCTGTGATCTTGAATGCAACTTCACAGCTATATCAGAGTTCGCACCACGGTCAACCTTGCAACCTTCAACCTGGCCAAGAGAAGCCCCACGGGCTTCCCTGACAAGCACCCTTCCTCCGCCACCAGCCTGCCACAACCTGTCTGTCTCATCGGCCTAAACAGCCGAACCCAAAACAGCAAGCACCAATGCGCGGCGCACAAGGAAAGCACCAATGCGCGTCGTTCTGGGATCGATTCCTAAAGAATCTGAGACCTGCTGGTGATACGATTCACAAAATTGCTGCTTTCTCTGCCCGTTGTTTTGGCTTCTAAGCCCACAAATTTTTATCGAGCCTTCAAAGTCACGAGGATCTTTTTTTTTTGTTATTTTTTCAACCAGCGGTTTGAACACACACTCACGCATGAGAACTCTGTGGATGTGTGTTTCGTTCGACTCTCGAGGCGTTTTTTGTTCGACTGCTGGGCGAAACGCAGGAGTTGAACAATAGGCCCGTCCCATCTTTGCAAAGCGAGCCTTTTCCAGTGCCTGCATCAAACTCTCTTGCTGCCTCGACAATTCCTGCAGTTGGTCCTCGCACGGTGGATCACGGCTGTACAGCCAAGGAAGAACATGATATCACGGGAAAACATAATCAAACAAGGATAACCGCTGGGCAAACCACCCACCCATTCAGCATCATCCAACCAACCAACCAACCAAATTATCACATAAATTAATTATTATCACACATCCAACACGAGCATCATCAAATGCTTTTAATTACATGGCATGTCCGGTGGAGCTCCAGTGGCCGAGTCCAGTGGTCCTGGTCGAACATGTCAGAGCTCTAGTGGCCGAGTCGAAGAAATGGTTATGTTTAGTCCTGCACCCGAGTAGGAGCCCACTAAGCCCATTGTGTTTCAGTCATCCACCTTTAGTGCACTACTTGTAGTAGGAGCTGTGGCCAAAACACAAGCTGAGAAGATCCCAAATAGATCCACGTTGCCAATGTTGCCCCACCTGCCTGCATAGTCTTCTCATTGTCATTCAAGGCGACTAAGCCATCCTTGCACAACACAAGGCTTAGTGCAAAGGCATCCGAATGAGCTTCTTCTGTGGATTTTGATACTTGAACTGAACCAGGTACAAACTGTGGAGGTCTCCCAAATACAAATGATACAGGGCTCACATTCAGCTCTTCAGCACCTATCCATGCGCGATCATTTGTGCGAACGACTAGCACATTCTTGCTTTGAGCCACATCCACATCTATAGAATTAGTATGAATTAGTCATGTCCCCACACCAAGCACCACCTTTCTAACAAATCGTTAGCCTACTCCAAAAGCCTCAGTTAGTACTAGCCTCAGTATATAGTGCCCTTGATGGCCCAGAATTCTAAAATCCTGTCGATCAGAACCCAGCCTGGATCCCGGGCTGCATCCCATTGGGGCTTTCAGCCTCCCGGGCCGGGACGACGGGCCGCACCAACTGCCGTGGAGCGTTCGGCGATCCATGCGGTAGCCACATGGCCGTAGCCACATGGATTCCCCAAGTAGGGCGTGGTGTCATCGTTTTCTACTTTGGATTGTCGATGGATGTGTGGATGGCCCTCGAAATTGATGAAACAGCCCTGAAGTACATTGGCACCAGCAGAAAGGACCCAGGCGTCTTTCATCCTGGTTTTGGCGGCTTTCCGGACTTGTAAAGAAGACGTCCCATTATTATGTCCTGTTGAAGGTGGAGTTTGAGCAATGATAGCTGAATTCAAGAAATTTATGAATGTACTTCCTGCTTCTCAAAACATGTTTGAACCAGCACCATGCAGTCTGCACCACCATCCTGCAGACTTGCGAGATTACTTCCTGCAGCGTTCTAGCAAAGATGGCTTGAACAAACTTGCTTCATCTCCAGGGTGATGAACGATCCCAATCGATTCCGTAAGTCTTTGAGTCTTTGAGGATTCCGTGAGACCAATTTAGCCTACAGAAAGGTTCCCTCCGATGGACTGCACAAAGCACCTGGGCAAGGCCCGTTGTGCTGCACGACCAACGTGACCGACCGTCCAGGGGCGGTTCGACCTTCGACCCACCATCTGCCCCGAACTGAGAGGCTGGCCGCGTGAGATGCCATGCTGCGTCTTGTGACTTCTGAAGGTTCTTCAATAGATCTGGTCTGGTGCTCATCAGCGCTTCTGGTGGCAGTCCGACCCTTAGGCAGGAGCTTTTTGGAGGTGATGACGGTGGATTTTGGGAGAGACAACGGTGATATATTTTGCATAGACGTCTTGGAGAACAAACACGGGAACGTGCTTTCAAGTTGTTGTTCTTCGAGCAACACTGATTTAACTTGGTAACTTGGGGCAGCTGCCTTTGGCTGTTGTTATCGTGGGAGAATGGATCATTTGACGTGTTTTGAAGGCATTTGCCAAAGTTTTCTATCTACCTATATATATATATATCAGCCGATATATGGAACAAAAACGTACAGTGCGTGATAGGCTCTTGGCAACTACATGTTGGTTCACATGACAATAGCCGTCCTCCACTCTAGTCCAACAAACAGGGATGTTGTATATGTTTTGATTTTTGTTGAGATCGAGGGCCCTTCCTGGCCTTCGTAGGTGGTCTCTGGGATGGCGCTATCGGATAGGACCTTTATGTGGCATGGCTCAAGAAACTTCATGCCAATATGACCGTGAGTCAAAACCTCCCTCACCAAACCATGGTAGGGTGACACCCCTTACATAGAGGAATCTGTTCAGCCATGACCCGGGGGGCCAAAGCCCAGGGTGCCTGGGTGCCATCACCTACAGTCATATATTGGAAGATTTTGAGCAAGCCAACCAAGTGAACTGCTGATTCTTTGCTCAAGCTCGCCAAGGATCTCCGAAGGGAGCTGCTCTGACCTAGCACTGCGCACTGCGCACTGCAAGCAATATGAATGTGGAAACTTGGCGAAGATGTCTATAAGAATGAAACCCTTTTGATCAGGTTCCCCAAGCTTACACAAGTCAAAGCTGCCAAAGCCTTGCAAAAATGAAAACAACTCGTCCAAACTCTCATCAGCAAAAAAAAAGTTATTATAGAATATTATAGACCCCCAAATAGATAGACATGTAAAATCCTTTTCCGAAAATATTGAATCCGTTTCGAAAACAAATTGGGGACCACTTTTCTCTATTCTTGGCGAAAACTTCCGTGCACGTCCTCGGGCTCCCCTGCGTTTCTGGACGGCTGGATGCTGTAAGTCGCCATTCGCGGTGGACCCAAATCGACGTTCCTTACAGGAACTGGAGCAAAATCCTTTTCGGGAGATGATCACAGGAAAACCTAGGCAATCGAGGTTACTAAGTTGAACTTTCAGAAAACATATTCAGTTCGTGCTCGGATGCCTCAGAGCTGGAACAAGTTTAATGATCACGAACCCACAGGCAGACTGTTCATCTTCCGTTCACTTGCCTCACTTTCCTCAACCTGCTTCCAAAGGGCAGCTGCGGGCACACGCGCATGCGCGTGTTGCGGGTGTCGAAGGCAGCATGACCTCCTAGTCGCGGAGAAGGCTCTTGAGCTGGTTCACGAAGCCTCCGGGGCGATGGGGATGACCTGCAGTGTTGAGGGCTCTGCTTGATTGGGAGATCAATCTCTCGAAATGGTTCTGGAGTGTTGCAAAGTACTGCTAATGCATTTACCATGAAAGTACTGCTACTAGTACTGCTAATGCTACTACCACAGTACCATCACAGTTCTTACTGCTAATTTCTGCATGTTGGACCTTCACAGTTTGTCTTGTCGCAAGTTGGCTGAAGAATTCGACGAAAGAGAAGTCAGGATGGTTGGCTGCACATGCAGCGAAAGACCACAACTAGACCAATCACTGGAAGGCTGGAAGACTCTCCGCACCTCGCTATTCCTGCAAGAACCTGGCAGATTTATGATGATTTATGTAAACGTGACCTCCCTTAAGCCTTAGGCTTGGTATGGCTTGGTGCTTCTAAGCTTTTCGCAAAGGCATGCTCAGGTCGGTGAGGTTCGACTGCAGGCCCGAGGTTGGAGACCTCAGAAAACATCGAAAAGGAGTGCGCGGCGACCCAAGCCCACTGGATGCAACACCAAAGCTTTGCAAAGCCTGAAGCTCGAGTGGAATCTCTACTGCATCTTCGAACCATTGACTGCGGCTCAAAAGAAATAGGAGCACGTAATTATTGGCTCTTCGCTCAACTAAACGTTTCAGCCACCTGCTGCTGATTCTGCTTTAAACAGTTAAACACTTGAAAGGCAACAAGGTCCTGGAGTGTTGGCCGAGGACCTAAGCCCTGCACGGTCGTGGAGACCGGCGGCGCTGCCATGCTGCCGTGATGTCATCCGGCTCCATGCTACCGCACGGCGGTTTGGATCTCACCAGCAGAAACTGTGGCACGTTTGGATCTCACCAGCTGATGTGGAAAAACTGGGCTGTTGAGCCGAAAGGTGCATCAAAGCACTTGGATCCTCCAAGAAACTTCTTCCACAGCCGTGAGATTCCATGAGGTAAAAGGATGCATGGAAAGCGTGAAGTTACTTTTGCGTATCGATGCAAATTGCTCTAAAAGGGCATGATTGGGGGCACCACCCTCATGTGCGAACTGCTGAAGTCTTTCCCCTTTCTCTGCAAAACTTTGATACGACTGCTATTGCACCTAACAGCTGAACTCGGAAATGCTGGAATCCAAGTATCCAAGATAGACTCTCTTGGTTGATCTAGATTGATCTGGGAACCCCAAACAGATTCTTGAAAAGACAGCTCAGCCAGCTACAGAAATGGGCCTTCGGATCTCCTCCGCTTGACTCATCCGAGCCTTCGACTGTCGACTGTCGACCGTCGACCCGACCAGGCAAAGTGACTCCAGCCCTCTCCACATGCAGCCAGAACTCGACAGATCGGTTGCTTCGTTCATCTCGATCTGGCTGAAGGAGGCTGACTCGGTGACCAATGTACTAATCGACAAGGAAGAGCGCTTGAGCCTGGTGGAACACATGATTGAGCACCTAAAATCAGGATTGATTGGTGCCGCATGGTGCTGCTCTCTGGATCGTGAAAGAGGTTTTTGAGGCCTCTTGGATTCGAGCAGATCAACCGTTGGTCGCTTGGAACACTTAAGACTTACCATGTTTGGGTACATTAAAGGTAGCTTCAAAATGCTTCAATTGTGAGTTTGGTCCTTGTATGTCCTTGTTTCTTTCTCAACCTCCCAGTTCCAACAACTGACCCTCTGAAGCATGTCGACAAACACTTCTCGACGTAATTAGGAACCCTCAGAAATCACGAACAATCGTTCCTTCCCTGGAACATTTATGATCTTTGACACCCTTCCAAGAATGGTATTTGACAAACAGCGCCAGCACGTCTCGATCTATCCGAGACGCCGCACGTCGAACCAGGCCTCGGCGCCACGCTGCGCCCTTTCTCGACGCTCCTCAAGACGTCGCCGGGCCGGTTGAACGGCTTTTTTGGGAAAACATTGCAATGAGGGATGCAGCAGCTGTTCATCAGGCTCATCAGGCCTTCATATAGAAGGGGCCAAGGAGAAGTGGACCAAGGTCAGTCAGCCCTTCTATGTCTCTGCTGTTTGCAGTGATGTTTTGGACGAAGTTTGCAAGCAAGAGAGTCTAGAAGCTTGGATATATTTACTTCAATACCGCGAGTATATACTTGAATCGTTCTTTCCAAGGCATCCTCAAAGGCATCCGGGAGTAGCGACCTGACAGAATGAAAGCTAGCGTGGCCATGAACACCTTGTGGAAAAAAAACCGAGCATGATTGAACATCTTTGAATACATGCAGAATTTGAGGGCAAACTTTGGGATGAATATTTCATTCTGGGGTGGTCCCGTCAAGATGCCATTTGCTGGATCATCTTGCTTGGCCTGAGTGCCGCACCGGAGGCATCAGGCATCATCAGGCCGTTGGGCGATTCATCTCAAGGGCCTCAGCTTTGCTGCATGGCTGTGGGACAAATGTCTTGTTAGAAATGAGTCAGGCAGCCTCAGAATTGTTTGGAATGACATGGATCCCATCCCCATCCCATCCTAGACCGTCGACCTCCTCATCCAAAGCAGTGCATACACACTTTTCCCAGGCAGAGGACGAGGACTAGGCGGAAGAATCAACGAAGGGGGGAGAATCACAGGCCGAAAATCAGCGAATTGGTTGGTCCTCTAGGTGTGCGAGGGGTCTTCTCATCGCTGACCGCAGATTTTCACTCCTTTCTCCTCCTGGTCCTCGTTCCTATTTCTGAACCTTTTGGTGGAACCAGTCTAATAGTTTCTGGCCATTCCCTGTTGGAGGCGAAGGAGAATCAACTAGCTTAACCTGATCAAATTTCATTACCCTGCCTCATTAATTACTGGATGTTCACTGGTCAAACAGTCTCGGGCCTCTGACTGATTTGATGTTGTCTCAGTGTGACCTCCGACGAGATTTGGCAGCCAAAACTCCACAAGCAACCGTTGGACGTGGCTTGGATGTTTAGATGTCGCTGTAAGAGCTGGATAAACACCTTAATGTTTCATGTTCTTTTGATATACCATATATATGACCCAATTTGGCTTCTTGTCAAACCTCCGGATTGGCCGCAACACAGTCGGTCTGCTTCCCCCCCCTCCGGAATGACCGGAACGGGCCAAAACATGCCAAAGCCTC